TCATGTCGACTAGGACCATCCATGGTAACTCACAGTTCCAGAAGGCCAAATCTAAACGTTGGACATGGGAGTCTCCCGGTGGACAGTTCCACAATGAAATTGAGCACATCATATTCTACCGATGATTTTGCCTGACTGATGTCACTCATGTCCCAAAATTCCAAATGGGATTGGATCATTGTCTCCTTCATGCAAAATTCTACTTCACGAAGTGGGGAGAAAGGGCTGCAAAGCTTAAGAAGAGAACTCCCAGAATGACCACCAACTAGGAGCTCTTTGACACTATTGCGGCAACATGGGAAGATGCCATCCTTGACAATGTTGACGAAGAATGTCAATGTTGACGACTGGTTCAGCACCTCCATATTGTGCGAGGATGCTGACCAAGAGATAGTCACAAAAAGACACCTGTCTTCGAAAACCCTTGAGCTCATTCACCAACATGGCTTGGCGCAAGCCTCAGGTAACCGCAAGTGAATGTCTGAGCTCGCAAAGCAGTGCAGAGAAGTGACCAAGGAAGATCTCAAAGAGAGAAGAGCAGCAGTGCGGGTAGATGCAGAAGAAGCCGGGAAAAGCATTCGCAATGCCTGCCTGTCCTTCGCCAACTACAAGACCAAGATGAATGCCCTTCGATGTCCTGAGGGATCTATCACATCTTCCAGAAGGGCAATGGAGATTATCCATGACTTCTACTCAGATCTCTTCGATAGCCACATCTACCTGCCCACATACCAAATTCCGCAGGATGGGTGTCATTCCCAATGTTCTCCCTTCTGAAATCCAACACGCCATTTTGTCAGTAAGGAAGCGAACAGCACCCGGCCCAGACAAGGTCAGACCCAAACACCTGAAGAACCTACTGTCAGTACTCATCAATACACTGGCTCGGCTCTTCACATGCTACCTGTCTGAATGCAAGGTTCCGATCCAATGGAAAACCAGCAGGACTGTACTAACTGTACAAGAAGGGAGACATCCATGACATTGGCAACTATTCCCCATCTGCCTGTTGTGCTGAAACATAGTATGATTAAAATTCAACTATGAGTAACTTTGTAAAACATGGTAGTTTAATTTAAAAAATCTTAAAGGAGATATTTTTAATAGAATTGTGAGATATACAGTTACAAAGTTGTTCATGATTTTCATTGATACAATGTTACAACTATGTTCTACCCACCCCTTCACCAGTGCACATTTCCCCATTTAAAAAAAAAGAGTATGACTCTCATAGGGTCTGGGCCAAGTACTAGGGAACAGAGAGGGGGTTCAGGAAGCTCAGACTTGGGGTAAAGCACCATGCCTATGAACACTGCATCAGAGGGACAGACTGTGGACCAGGTAAATGGACCAGATGGTTTGTGCAGAGAACAGAAAAGTCAATAGGGTATAGAGGACAGAGAACAGAGCACCAAAGCTTGAAAGCTTGATGACCCCTCAGCTCTATGACACCAGCATGTTCTTCAACCTCCCTGAGGGGGCAACAACTATGTCAGAGGCTCAGAAATAATGCATGTGAAGGATCACACCTAGAAAGGGGCTCCACGTTTTATTATTTTTTTTTTACAAAGGGCAGCTTCCACTTAATATAGTTAGGAACTCCCCAAGCAGACAAGGAGGAGAAAGGAGGCTAGCAGAAGAGGGGCAGTGAGAGGCTGGAGCGATAGCACAGCAGGTAGAGCGTTTGCCTTGCATGCGGCCGACCAAGGTTCGATTCCCAGTATCCCATAGGGTCCCCTGAGCACCACCAGGAGTAATTCCTGAGTGCAGAGGCAGAAGTAACCCCTGTGCATTGCTGGGTGTGACCCCCCAAAAAAAAGAAGAAGAAGAGGGGCAGCAATGTTAGCAAGGGCCCAGAAGGCCAGATTTGAGCTTGGATGTGACTCAGAAAGAGAGCACTGGGGAGACACAGGGGTTTTGAGCAGAGAAAGGAGAGAATCATATGTATGGGCTAGGAAGAGGCATCCTTTTGGCCCAGTGCAAAACATGGGTTGGAGATTTAAAAAAAAAAAAAAAGAGTAGGAAAGACACTATCATTGTGAGACAGGAAAAACTGGTTGTTGGGACCACAGATGCCACCCAGGGTTGTGGAGGATGTTGGAGCATGATAGGGCCCAGCCTGTTAAGGCAACATGCTCCAGACAGTGATGCAGGCCCACTACCTAAAATGAGGCAGCACTGGCCCCTGCAAATTGCTCAAGGAACCTGGACCAGTCACTCTGGCTGCTGGGACCCAGGAATGAGCCTGACATGGCCTAGGCCGCATGGAGCTCACACTGTGAGGAGAAGGTGGAGTCCAATAGGGAACAAACAGATATGGAAGGGTCACATCCTTAAGGGTAATAGTGATGAAAGGGGAAAACAAAGAACTGCTAGTATCTAAGATGGGGGCCCAGGATTCAAAGGAGGAACTGCCTGTCTTCATGTCACAGTCTCTATGATCCTGGAAGATTCAAAGGAGGAACTGCCTGTCTTCATGTCACAGTCTCTATGCTCCTGGAAGCTGCCTCCTTAAGGAGTTTGTTGAAGCACACATTGGTACCCTCCTTTAAGCCTTCTAATTATTTTTTTTGTTTTTGTTTTTGCTTTTCTGGTTTGTTTTGTTTGGGTTGGTTTTTTGGCTTTTTGGGTCACATCTGGCAATGCTCAGGGGTTACTCCTGGATCTGCACTCAGGAATTTCTCCTTGCGGTGCTCAGGAGACCTTTTTTCTTTTTGGGTCACACCCGGCGATACACAGGGGTTACTCCTGGCTCTGCACTCAGGAATTACCCCTGGTGTTGCTCAAGGGACCATATGGGATGCTGGGAATCGAACCCAGGTTGGTTGCGTGCAAGGAAAACACCCTACCCACTATGCTATCGCTCCAGCCCCTTGCTCCCCCTCTTCTGCTAGCCTTCTTTCTCCTCTTGGTCTGCTTGGTGAGTTCCTGACTGTCTATTATTAAGTGGAAGCCAGAGTTCCAAGACCAAGCCAGAGATCAAGCCAGGTTCAGCCATGTGCAAGGCAAACACCATCCCTGCTGTACTATCACTCCATTCCCTCCATTTATTGTTGATTCCACACATATTCCTTGAGCACCTCCATATATTAGAACATTGTTCTGAATGCTGCAGACCACAGGCAGGATTCACAGACTCACAGTGAAGACAGATGCAAAACAATTTCTTCAAAATGAGTCCTAGCTCTATAAAATCATGAAGGTAGTATAAACTGGAAGTAACATTTAATTCTGGGGGGCCCGGGGGGCGAATATTGGCAGTGCTTACTCCTGACTCTACACTCTGGCACTCTGGGATCTCTCCTGGGAGTGCTCAAGGGACCTTATGGAGTGCCAAGGAATTGAATCTGGTCAGCCACATGCGATGCAAACTCCCCCTGTCCCCCCAACACACTCTGTTCTATCTCTCCAGCCCCAAAAGCTTTGGGGGTTTTGTTTGTTTGCTTGTTTGATTTGGTTTGTTTTTCTTTGTTTGACTTTCTGGGCTACATCTGGCAGGGCTCAGGACTTAGTCTTGACTCTGTGCTCAGGGATCACAGCTGGCAGGCATGCAGGAACCATAAGGGGTGCCGAGGATTGACGTTGGATCAGCTGCATGCAAGGCAAGTACCTTACCACTGTACGTACCTCTATGTACCTGACATATAATTTGAGACCTAAAATCTGAAGAGTTTTGTCAGGTGAAGAGGGAGAAGAGGCTCAGGTAGAGAAAACAACATGTGCAAAGTTCTGGAGAAACAAGGATGTCTGGCCCATTGGGAACTGAGATGATGTGGAGAAGGCTGAGCTGGGCGCAGGGGCCAACCAGTAAGGCATTCCCAGCTTCTTGAAGGGCACTCTGAGGGTTCTGGCCCATCTCACCTCACAATTCTCCAGCTCTCAGGTTCAAGGTCCCTGCGCCTGTGAGTACCCATGCCAGTGAGTACCCATGACTTTCCCTCCCGGCAAGCACCTTTTTTTTTTTTTTTTTTTTTTTTGCTTTTTGGGTCACACCAGGCGATACACAGAGGTTACTCCTGGCTCTTCCTGGCTCTGCATTCAGGAATTACTCCTGGCGGTGCTCAGGAAACCATATGGGATGCTGGGAATCAAACCCAGGTCGGCCGTGTGCAAGCCAAATGCCATGCCTGCTGTGCTATCACTCCAGCCCCCAGTCCACCCCACTACCCCGGACAAGAATCAAAAATCTTCTTAGAGGAACTGAAGCGGCAGTACAGTGGTAGGGCGTTTGCCTTGCGTTGTGGCAGACCTAGATTCTATCCCCAGCATCTCATATAATCCCCTGAGCAGTGCCAGGAGTGATTCCTGAGAGCAGAGCCAGGAGTAACCACTGAGTATCACCAGGTGTGGCCCAAAAGCCAAAACAAAGAATCTTCTTGGACCTGGAGGGATAGCACAGAGGTTAAGGTGCTTGCCAACTGCAGAGGCTGATCCTGGTTCAATCCCAGCCCTTCAGAGCACTGGCCGGCTGCAACCCTAAAACAAAAACGTTTTCAATACAAAGATCTCGTCCCCATAAAGGTTGTCTCTACGAACCAAATTCTGGTTCCCAGGATGCATCTGACAAGATTTCAGGAGCTTCCAAAGAGCTCCTGTTATGCAGAAAATTTTAGCAAGAGGATGGTCGGAAGCTATTACCCTCTCTTTCCAGGTAAGGAACCCGGCAGAGAGTTCATGGTGCTGCTCTCTAGTTGGAGCAATATGGGGATTTCAAGGTTCTAGAATCCTATGACTCATAAACCACCTGCTCCTTGCTAGTTGGTGCAAGCCTGGGGACACATACGCCACCCATGAGACCAGCCCGGGACACAGTCCTGATGCACAATCCACTCCCTGATGGAAACCAAGATGCGGGTGGGGGGGAACCCCCTGGTTAGGCACTGGGCTGGGGCGGAGTCACAGGAGGGAGAAGGCGGGGAGGCCCGGGTACTGCCTGGTGCCGACTTCCTGTTCAGTTGGGAGAAAACTCAGGGTGCAGGGAGCCGGGAGCCGGAGCCGCGGCGTCGTGAAGCCCCAGGGCCATGGGGAGCGCGCGCGACGCCATCCTCCAGGCCCTGGAGGACTTGAACTCCGATGAGTTCAAGAAGTTTAAACTGAAGCTGCAGTCCGTGGAGCTGCGCGAGGGCTACGGCCGCATCCCGCGGGGGCAGCTGCAGGTCATGGACGTCGTGGACCTCACCGACAAGATCGTCAGCTGCTACACGGAGCACTACGGCGCGGAGCTCACGGAGCTGGTGCTGCGCAGCATGGGCTTGCTGGAGCAGGCGACGGTGCTGCAGAGCGCGGCGCGCGCGGGTGAGCGCCCCTCGCGGGGCTCTGCACTTCCTCTTCCTCCCGCCCCCTCGGGCGCCTCCCGCTTAAAGGAGGGTGGCGTGGGGGGCTCCTCGCCCTGCCCCGACCGGGGCCGGCCGGGGGGATCAGGGCCGCTTTTCTGATTTCCTTCCAGACGCCAGGACGGCCTCAGCCTCGGCGGCCGCGCCCCAAACGAGCGCCCCGACAGGTGAGACCGGCTTCACACCCACCCCGCCGCATCCCTGCAGAGCCAGTCTGAGCTGGGCGCGGGAAGGGACCCGAGCTGTATTCCCTGGGCTCTATCTACCCTGATTGAAACCCGATTTGTCAACCCCACCCCGGTTTCTCGTAAAGCCACTTCGGGCGGTGAGACAGGTCCCGCCACCACCACCGCTCATCTGTTCCCTCCCCCCTCCCTCCTTTCCCCCTGCCCGCAGTGGTGCATTTCGTGGACAAGCACCGGGAAAGTCTCATAATTCGGGTGACCAACGTGGACGCGCTCCTGGATGCCCTTTATGGCAAGGTGCTGAAGGAGGATGAGTACCAGGCCGTGCGTGCAGAGCTCACCAACCAGAACAAGATGAGGAAGCTCTACAGCCTGATGCCAGCCTGGTCCCTGCACTGCAAGGACCTGCTGCTCGATGCCCTGCGGAACACCCATCCGTTCCTGGTGAAGGACCTGGAGAAGAGCTGAGGTCCCTGCCCAGCACAGGCCTGCGCATCACCCCCTACTGTTGAAATCTGATTTTTTTTATACTCAATATAAGAAAACCTAGCTCGTATGTGTGTGTGTCCTGTGTTCCAGCCTTGGAGGCCTATGTTAAGCTGGATACCCCCATGCGGCCAGCGCTAGAGGCCTCACCGCCCCCCACCCGCCCCCAGTTTCCCAGGGATTTGCTCTTCCCACAGTCATTGACTCTCCCAGGCTACCGCAGAGGGTCCGCCCTTGAGACCATGTCAGCTTCTTCTCTCAGTCAAAACAGGCCAGAGATGGCTTCATGGGTTGGGGCACATTCTTTGCATGCAGAAGCCCTGGGCTTGATTCCCCAGCATCCCATGTACCCTGAGCACAAGATGTGGCCCAGAAAAAAGAAATGCAGGTCTTGGGGCTCGGAACGTGACACATGCCTTCGGTTCAATCCTTGGCACCAAAAACTAAAAAAAGGCAGGGCTTAGGGATACAGTTCAACAGGTTGAGAGCATGCATTACATACAGGAAGGCTGGGGACGGGGGGGATGGGGGAGTTCCAGGTTTGGTCTCCAGCACCGCAGGTCCCCCAAGTGCCATTAAGAGCAACCCTCAAGCACCCCGGGTACAGCAAAAAAAAAAAAAAAAAAAGTCCTTGGGGGAGAAAAATGAATAGGTACACTGGTGGTGTGTGGCGTTGGAATTAGGTGCATGAGAACCTTCATGAACAGTACCGTAGATCACAGAATCTCAATTTTCAAATAAGATCTAATAAAGGGTACAGAAAGGGAGGCCAGAGAGTACAGTAGTTAAGGCACTTGCCTTGCATGCAAGTGAGCCAAGTTTAATCCCCTGTGCCCGTGTCCTATGGTCCCAAAATCCACACGGGTGATACCTGAGCAGAGCCAGGAATAAGGTCTGAGTACCACCAATGTGAAAAAAAAAAGTACAAAACATTTATTTTGGTTTTGCTTTTCATTTTTTCATTTATTATTTATTGGTTTTGTGGTAAGTGGCAACACCCATACAGGATAGTGGGACTCAAACCAAGACCAGCAAGATCACGATTTCTGACTGTGGAAAAGCCTAATCAATATGACCTATCTTTTAAGCACCAGACCATTCCTCTTAGCTCAGGAGAGCACCCCTTCACTGCCGTGCTCACAATGTCCTTGTGCTCTCCCAGCAGTTCATTGGGTTCCATACTTTCCTACCCCTAGTTCAAGTCTATCTGTATTGCAATTGTTACTGGGAGGCAGGGGGGGAGGGGGGGAGCTTTTCAGAAGCTATTTAAGGATTGTCTCTGGCTTGAACTGGGAATGGGGGTTAGGGGCAGGGTGGAGAAGAGTATACAAAGCAGTAAGGAAGTCCCAAAGAGGTCCAGTATCCTACCTAGCACAGTAACTGCCAGTCACAATGATGCACCAGCTACACAAAGACTCAGATTTTGTCTGGGGGCCACACCCAGTGGTGCTCAGGGATCATTCCTGGTGGGCTTGGAAAGCTGGGGATCAAATCCAGAATCGCCACATGCAAGGCAAGTGCCCTAACCACTCTTCTATTGCTCCAGCCCCTGTATAAAGACTTTGAATACCTCGGTGGTATTCTGGCTATTCAGAGACATTATTCAGAGATGGTACAGCATGTGAGACACTTGTCTTCCACCTGCATGGTTCCCTAAGTGCCACCAGGAGTGGCCCATAGAACAAAAGTTAGTGGTGGTTTTCAACCATTTCATACCTGAGGACCACACCAGTTCTAAGACCGATGGTTGAAAACCACTGATCCCATATGGTCCACTGAGCACTGCCAGGAGTAACTCCTGAGTGCAAAGCCACAAGTAACACCTGAGCATCATGAGTGTGGCTAAAACATCACGGAGTGTAGCTAAAGCTATATATGTGGACACACACACATATATATGTATATATAGGGGGGGGATTGCAAAAATAAGAAAAAAACTAATCTAGAAGACAAAAAAATTAATGCTTAAATACACACACACCCCTACCTTCAGAACTCTGCATAATCTCATCCTGACAGTCACATTTCCCTAGTATGACCTACAAGTCACTAGAGCAACAGGTGTTGCTTGCTACAAGAGAAAGCTCCAAGAGGCAAAGAGACAGCCACAGTCAAGACTGACTGGCCACAGAGAATACTGGTCATGATGCCACGGGCTCCAGGAGAAAGCTAACCCTCCCCCAAAAAATCAGGATCAGCTTTGACCCCCTGTGGAGAAGCCTGTATTCTCTCTTGAACACATATCTCTACCTCCTCTCTCCTTACATTTCTTTAAATGTCTTGCAATAAAAACTATTTTGCTTCACTATTTTGCCACCTCCTGAAATTCTTTTCTGCGAGGGAAGGCAACGAACCTGGAACGCCTGTGCTGGGACTGACTCCTCCATTCCTGCAAAGAGCAATGCCTAGATACATGTCTCAGCTGGTGTGGACCAGCTCCCACACCTCGCAGAACAAGTGGGCTTCAACACAGCTTGGTGGCTGCCTTGTGGGGCTGGTGGGGCATGAGCATCAGGACCTTGTGGGGCTCACGGCAGACTTTATAGCCCTACACCACATCAGGAGTTTCCCTGGATGGCCAAGGTAGCTCAGAGGTGGAATTTCTTGAGGCTACTCCCCCTCCCTCCCCACTTTACCAGGTCACCTGCATTCTTACGAATGCAGAGATTCCAGGTCAAGAAATTATATATACTCTCCCAAAATCTTTTTTCCACTCTACAGAAACCTGTGTTCCCTCTGAACACATCTTTTTGGTTTTCATGCAATACCCAGTGATGTTCAAGGGTTCCTCATGAACTGGCTATGTTCAGGTGACCATATGGGGTGCTGGGGATTGAATCTGAGTCAGTTTTGTGCAAAGCAAATATCCTATCCTTTGTACTATCACTCCAGCACTTCCCTCACATTTCTTTAAACTCACTAAAAAAAGCAGGATGAGGGGGCTGGAGAGATAGCACAGCAGGTAGGGTGTTTGCCTTGCACACAGCCGACCCAGGTTCGATTCCCGGCATTCCATATGGTCCTATGAGCACCATCAGGAGTAATTCCTGAGTGTATGAACCAGGAATAACCCCTGAGCATCGCTGGGTGTGACCCAAAAAGAAAAAGGAACATCAAGATGAGTCTAAGACTTCTACCCAGTCTTCACAAATTTTACCTGTTTTTTTTCCTGTGCCAGATAAAACCCAGCACCTTAGCCATGCAAGAGCTCTACGGATGAGTTTCAAAAGTTTCAACAGCCTTATCCAATCCCTGAGGTGTGTTGGCTTGTATGTTCTGCAGAACCTTGCCATTTTCAAAACTGAAGCTGTGTTCCATTGCCATCCCTGGATGTTTCAGGGCCACCCCAAAGCAGTACTCAGGGACCATGCAGTGCTGGGGATCAAACCCAGGTCTCCCATGTGGAAAGCATGCATTCCAGACCCTTAAGCCATCTCCCAAAACTACCCACCTGACATGGTAACAACCAGGGAACAAGAACTCACAGGGGCCGAGGAGATGAGCCCAAAGGATCAGTGTGCCCATTTCTCATGTCAAATCTCAGGTTTAGTCCTAGTACCACCTGGTCTCCCCAGAACCACTGGGAGCAACCCAAGCATCAAGCTCATGAACACCACTAGCCTGTGAGTGCTACATACATGGGCCCAAAGCCAAAAATGTCCTAGCATGTCTTAGAAAGCCAGGTTTTGCCAGACTTCTGCTGACTGCCTTCCTTCTCCACTTCACTGCCCCCATGTGGCTGGTGTCTCCTACGGCTCTAATCTACCACCTCCAGGTGACCAAAACTGATCCTCCACACGAACTCAAATTGGGTAGACACCTGAACTCTTTCTATCCCGGCCCTTCATAACTGTAACCAGGGGCTGGGTATCACTGCAGGTCGGGCATTTGCCTTGTACACAGCCTACTGGGTTTAACTCCCCCAGGACATGTTCCCCTGAGACATAAGAAGCAATCCCTGGGCAGTCAGGTGTAGTCCCAAAACTCTTCCACCTTTCAGGGCTGGAGCAATAGTACAGTGGGTAGGGCGTTTGCCTTGCATGTGGCCGACCCGGGTTCAATTCCCTGCCTCCCATATGCCCCGAGCAGGAATAATTCTTGAGTGCAGAGCCAGGAGTAACCCGAGCATCTCCAGTTGTGACCCAAAAAGCACCTCTTCCACCTTCTGTACCCCATGGCCCATTCATGCCCCCGCACTCATGCCCCCGTACTTAGTAGGTCCTTCCACTCCAAGTCCACTTCTCTGCTGGAATGTCCGTTGGTGGGTCTTCCTTTAATACGATGTCTCTCACCACCACAAACTAGATTCTTGGTCTGGGATTCATCCACTAGACAGTGTCCCATAAAACAAAGACAGGAATCTAACACAGTGGTTAAACCATTCACCTTGTAAGGCCCTGATTCTATCCACAGCACTGCTCCCCAAAAAAACCCAGACACTAACATCTGTAAAACTGCCTTTGCATTTAAATACATTACTGGAGCTCTCGAGGAACCACGCAGTCTAGGAGGTTGAACCCAGGGGTCTGCCACATGTCCTTGGAGCTGTGTCCTTGATCTACCAGCTCTACGTGGTCCTGCAATGCAGTGAGGCAGCCTAATGGCCTACAAAAACTGCATCAACTGGACTGACTGAAGCACTGAACCAGACATGCATCTGCACCAGTATCACAGGGAATGTGGCTCTGGGCCCCCCGAGGGGGGTAGCACTGTACTGCACTGTCCTCCCGTTGTTCATCAATTTGCTCGAGCGGGTCCAGTAATGTCTCCATTGTGAGACTTGTTGTTACTGTGTTTGGCATATCGAATATGTCACGGGTAGCTTGCCAGGCTTTGCTGTGCGGGCGAGATACTCTCGGTAGCTTGCTGGGCTCTCCAAGAGGGGCAGAGGAATCGAACCCAGCTTGGCTGAGCCAGCTGCGCGCAAGGCAAACCACCCTACTGCTGTGCTATCGCTCCAGCCCGAGGGGGGTGAATCCTAT